GATCTCGCTGGGTCAGATCCCTTCGATCCTCGACTCAGTATCTTTTCTGTCCCTAAAGACTGCTCTGCTGGTCGCGTTGATATTGATTAGAGGGTCGGGGACCCGGAGGCATTTTTCGGTCAGTGACTCGTGCCTGTAATTGGGTGGGCTTCTCTCATGTCCTGAGACCCCGCCCAAGGTTCCTACCACTCCGTTTTAACACCATGTAGTGAGCCTGCAAGCGCTGCCCTCAGAGGAGGCAGACCCAGCGCTTTCTTTATTGTCCAGTTCGCGCCTTGCATATTATCTGGACCGCTCTCAGAGTTTAGATCATCTGAGCAGCTCTTCGTCTGTTATGGCGGTCGGCAGCAGGGAAGTGCCGTATCGAAATTAAGATTTCCCACTAGATTGTGGATGCCATTCTCTCACTTATCAGAGCCGAGGTGATTCGCGTCCCTCGAGAGTGCGTGCGCACTCCACTTGGAGCTTCGCATCCTCTTGGGCACGTGCACGCGGCGCCTCTCTAACAGACATCTGTAGAGCTGTGGGCTGGGCGACACCCAAAACATTTGCAAGGTTTTACAATCTGCGAGTGGAGCCGGTTTCCTCAAGGGTATTAGGTAACCCTTGGTGATTGAGGAAACAATTCGGTAGGGTGTTGAAACAAGCTTGCTGCGCCATTCTCCCTAACACGGAGATACGTGCGCCTTTTTATTTGTCAGTAAAGTTCCCCGTCAGGTGAGCCCTGCAGATTCCTCCGTGGCCCCAAGCACTGACTCAACGGAGGAATCACTTGCTGGCCCACTACGTTGTTGGTCTGCCCGCTGGTCAGCCCGCGTCTTGGGTATAGGTGCCTGCTATACGTGATCCCCACTAGGCAATCCCATATGCTTATTCCACCACGGTTAATTCCCCCCCTGGGTGGACCCGTGTCTTCCCTCTCCGCTAACCACTTTTTCTATGTGCACTCCCACTTCTTAGGGCTAGTCCATATGTAAATTTTGCCATCTTATCTCCCCCCTTGGTTAGCGGATGGCCTCCGCAGCGTCCTCCCTATCGGGATTGCACGCTTCCCAACGTATTTTTCCTAGAATTATCTAGACGCTCACGACTTCCAAAAAAATGTATCTAAATCCATAAAACTTCTGTTGAAGTGGGATAAGTTAGGGCCAGGGACACGTTGGAGGACCGCACCTCCCATTATGTGGGTGCATCACGCTTGCTTGACTATTCCCTCATCGGAGGCGTTGGTAAGGTGTAGTCATTATGGTTTTCCATAGTTCTCCCATACGTGGATTTTCTAAGATTAAATCCACCTATAGCACTGGAGTTCCCCACCCGAAGGGGAACGTTCGAGGTTACAGAAGTAACCTTCGTTCCCCGAGGAGGGGAATGGAAGTGCTATATTCCATTGCCATAATGACTGTCCCTTAGCTGTTAGAAAGTCTCTTCAGCTTAAAAGGATGGCGTTTGCTCGCTCCAGGTGTGCTTATATGCTGGGATATGCTGCGCAAGCTTACGGTGCCAATTCATTGGCTTTCATTGGCCCGTTCAATACTCTTTCAGACAAGCGGCTTCTGAACCGAATCCTCCTATACGTAGATTTTCTTAGATCAAATCCACCTATAGCACTTCCGTTCCCCTCCTCGGGGATCGAAGGGTTACTTCTGTAACCTCGAACGTTTCCCCCACAGTCCAAAGACATGCGTTACAGGTGAATTGGGTAGGCTAAATTGTTCGTAGCGTATGAGTGTGTGTGAATGAGTGTTTGTGGATGTTTCCCAGAGATGGGTTGCGGCTGAAAGGGCATCCGCTGCGTAAAAAACGTGCTGGTTAAGTTGGCAGTTCATTATGCTGTGGCGACCCCAGATTAATAAAGGGACTAAGCCGAAAAGAAAATGAATTAATGAATGAAGTCATAAGAGCAGAGATTAAGGTCCCATAATGCAAATCACAATGATAAATAAATGAAATGACAAAATACAGAAACTATAAATTAACAAATATAATTTACAGTTTGTCTACTTAAAAACTTTGCAAATAATGTTTAAAAGGTACCATTTGTTTTGTTATTCCAGCTTACCAGTGCTCCAGTCGTGGGGGGGAACTGGAGCTGGAGGTGAGAGATGATGGTCGAGTAAACATCATTGGTCGGGCACAAATCATTCTTCAGGGAACTCTTAAAGTCTAGTCAAGTCATGCAAATCTACTCATTGAATCTGTTTATAGTTGTAAGGATGGCTAAATCTCTTCATATTATCAGAGCTGTTATGTAATTCCATACAGTAAGACCACAAATATTGCAATGCAATAAAACAATAAACATTCTAACCCTCCTGTTTTGTTCACATCCTTACCCTTACTTTAGTGTTCCCGGTCAAAATTGACCAGCCTGTTGTAACTTTTCTTATATTAACACAAAAAATAAAAATAAAAATCACCACCAAATTTTTATTCAATATTCTTTAGCTGTGAACAATGTCTTAAATTAGAGTTAAACATGAATTTACAGAATTAGACATAAAATAACTGCAGTGAAAATAAAAATAGGCACTGAACACATTTAGAAAAAATTAATCATAGATGACAGAAATTAAAATACTTTGTTTCGTTACTAATAGACAGCTTGCTAAAATAGCCATCACAGGGTCTGACAAAAGAAATTGAAATTTTTATCCATCTGAATGATTTATCAACCAGCAAAGCACAAACAAAATGGCATCCTTTCTTGTGTACTGAGTGGTCAAATTTTCATTCAGTTCTTGGACTATTTTAGTATACTCATATAGGGAATAGTGACTGAGGGTATAGACGGTGAGCATAGACACAGAACTAGTACTATACTTTGGTCATTTTTGAGCGGGAGGCTAATGGTCTAAAAAATAATCGATGCTAAGCTAAGCTAAAATTGCTCCAGCTAGACCCAGAGGTAAGCTAAACGAAGATTGGCAGAAAGAAAGAAAAAAGCAACATTCACACAGAAAGGTTCACAAAAAACACACTGTGTGAAGATATGATACATTGTTTTATCAGGAAGTTGATTAACGTTGGAGGATCCAATGCTATCTAATGGCAATTCATAGCTTATTGATTTTGTGACTAATCTGTATGAATTTGCACAATCTTATTCATACAATTTAGTACTATTTGCTTATTTGGATGACAAGCCTCCTGTTCATACGACTAAACTTCTACAGATTAGCCACTAAACTGACAAAGTGTAAAATAGTTAAGTTTCCTTGTGAGATCAGGGAGGAGGATGGGCATAAGTGCAAAAAAGAGATGTGTACCTGCAAAAGACATTGTTCAGTCTGAAATGTGTGAATAAGTGAGTGAGTTGGGGTGATGTGCATGGTGATGTTTTCTGTCTGATGGATAAATATAGCCTGGATACCTATTCATTTCCTATGGTGGTCATTTTTGACCAGGAACACCACAGATGTAACAAGGTTGAGTAAAACACTCAAAATTCAGTGAAAGATATGATCACTTTTATATGATGATCATCTCCCCCTCTTCACCTTCTCTACCAGAGCAGATCATGTCCAAGTTTTCAGTATCTTGTGAATCTATAATTTTCCCCTTTCATGTTTGCTACCATTTTAAATCTCTGTGATTTTGTTAATGTGGTCTTAATTTCACAATAGAGACTTGTCTCTGTTGAGTTTTGGCCTTGATAAGATCTCTGCCACATGCTCCCTTCCAGATTGACCAGACAAGGGTCTTTGCAAAGTTTAATTGTCTTGAATTTCTGATCTTTTGTTCTGAGTATTTAAAAGAAAGGTGCAAAAGTGTTTTTGGGATCTTGTAGGCAGGATAGCCTTTTTCAGTGTGGGAGTCTCTTAGCTCTGCATCAAGACTTATATGCTACAGCATGTTTCTGCATGGTCAGGTTGCCATCTCTAACTCTTAGATTGATCTTTTTTAGGTAATTGATGTTGTACATTTTTGAATCGGCTTTTTATTGTTTGTTTCTGCATGATACACTTTTACTTTGAAAATAAAGTTTTAAGTTTTGATAGATTCTGGATTCTTCTGAAATCATTATATCCAGTAGAATATGTGGAGGTTGGTGATACCTTAATACTGCGTACATATCCAAACAAATCACATGAGACTGTATGAAGCAGTCGGCTCTTCAGCTTAGAGGCTATTCGATTTCTGGTTATTGCTGATTTAGCAAGTTGTAAGGAAATTATCTACACTTTTAGTACGAATGGGCAGGTGGCAACCGGACTATTTGGGTATTAGTTAACCCTACATCCTCTGAATAACTTTAGAATATAAAGATCATGTCTGTAAGAAACACGCAAACCAGAGCCATATGGCATTGGGTCCCCAATGAACGGATAATTGAAGAGTGTGGGATCAGATAAAAATCAAAACTCTCATTGATTCATGTCACTGAAAATTGGAGTCAGATTAAATTCAGAGCTGAAAACAAATATAAATAAATTGTAATAAATAAGAGAATTATTTTTTAAAGTGTTAAAAAAGGCTTACATTTAACCTTCGATTTAAAAGTTATGGAAAAAATTTTGAGTCTGCACCCTTAACATGAGCCGTAATAACTTTAGGGTCAAAGTCTAACTTGACTTTAAATACTGCTCTGAACTAAAAGGCAGTAGAAAAAAGCACAGAGAGCTGAAGAGCTGTAACCAATGGAGATTCCAATCTTTACTGTTGATGCTTTTACTAGTTTACCTTTTAAAGGTAATCCTGCTGCAATTTGTCTTTTAGAGAATGTAAGTACTACAGTTTTATGTTTACTAATTTTGCATTGCTCTACATTTTTAAGCTGTATCTTAGAATATCCTATAATATTTCTTTACATTTAGGAGCTGCAGGATGATATTAAACAGAGCATTGCTGCAGAGATGAATTTATCAGAGACGGCTTTCATCACAAAACACAACTCTGTAGACTTTTCCTCAGGTATTGTGTTGTTGCTAACTGAAATACTCACTGAACATCTTAACGCTTTAACATGTGTCTGCTTTTTGTTTTGATGTGTTTTAAAGGTTCAAGATTTGGATTACGCTGGTTTACCCCAAAAACTGAGATTGCACTGTGTGGACATGCTACACTGGCCTCTGCAGCAGTGCTCTTTTACCTTAAAAGTAAGAAACACTAACCAATCACAACAGTCATAGTTCATGTAATCATATTTACTACCACATTATCAAATATGGTCATATGAGGATTATGAAGGAGTAGATATTACTGTATGTGTGAAGTGTTTTGGTAAATCTATTTGTTTTTGCTGTAGCCTACAACAAATGGATAAGAAATGCTAAATAAAATAAAAAGTGTCTTATGTAAGTCTAGTGTTCAATAACAGAAAAGCAATTCTATAACAACATAATACTGTAAATAATGTTTAATTTCTTGCACAGATTGAGCTGCAAATCACGATTCCTAAATCAGGCTGTGCGGTTAAATGATCAACTGTGATCCATTACACCACTAAGAAATGCTTGTGTTTGCATTAATGATTTAACAATGATACTGGACTGTGACCATATTAAACTCAATATATCATCACAGAAAATGCCAACCCTGTTGTGGTGTTTGAGACTATGAGTGGGGAGCTTTATGTGCGTCAGCATGAAGACTCAATAATAATGGACTTCCCTTTAAACAAACCACAGCCGCAGGTATGACAAAAACACATCTTGTAGACACAAAACTAATACTGTACAGTATGTTGGTTTTGGTCTGAATTCACTGAGTTTTGTGCTTTTTTTACTTGCAGGACCAGCGTAAAATCAAGGGTTTTCTGAAGGTAGCACTGTTTTATAACATTATTATACTTTTTTTTCCTTTTTAGATTTTTTTTTAGACGTAAGAGATTTGTTATTTGCATTCTTAGGCTGTTGTAGGAGATTTACCCATTGAGGATGTGTGCTACAGTCCAGCCCTGAGGTGGCTGATGATTCGTCTGGCTGACTCATGTGACAGGTACAACAGGACATTCAGAAGAATTTCTGAAACTCAGGAAAAAGCCTAGCTTCCTTTCAGTCATCTATTACAATGGTATGACGTATTAGTGATTCTGTCTTGAAGAACCTCTGAGTTGTAGAAAACAAGCCAATGGAATTGGTGAGTGGAATCTACATGTGAATCCATATACAGTAGGTGTATAACAGTGCAGCAAGATATTGGAAACATATCTGACATTGCAATATTCAGTTTTTCTGTGCTAAATTGCAATATGACTGACCACATGGCTTGAGTAGCTGTACTTGAATAGAATTCATTCATTTTAGATTGATTGGGATGATTCTGTAGGGGAGTTAATCATGCATAAAATATTCATTCATTTTCTTTTCGGCTTAGTCCCTTTATTAATCAGGGGTCGCCAGAGTGGAATGAACTGCCAACTTATTCAGCATATGTTTTACGTAGCAACTGCCCTTTCAGCTGCAACCCAACACTGAGAAACATCCATACACACTCATACTCTATGGACAATTTACCCTACTATTCACCTGTACCACATGTCTTTAGACTGTGGGGTAAACCGGAGCACCCGGAGGAAACCCACGCAAACACAGAGAAAACATGCAAACTTCACAGAAATGCCAACTGACTCAGCCAGGGCTCAAACCAGCAACCTTCTTGCTATCCACTGTGCCACCTGCATAAAATATAGTAAAGAAACTTTCTTAGGAATGAGAAAGCAAACATTTGCTCTCCTTTGACAGGTTTTATCTTTGACATTGACGTAACTTTTTTCTTCTTGTTTATTATTTGTTTGCGCAATTGGAGTGTTGACTTGGATGTGGTGCTTGTTGTCTAATAATTGGTTGTAGTATTTATTTGTAATGTGCAATGGTGCTAAATAAGTCTCCACTCACAGGGAAATCTAATCTAATCTCTCTCCTCTATGTCCAGGGGAGTGAGCTTGCAGATTCTACTTTCCATCTCCATTGGGTTGTTTTCCTTCTAGTCAGGGTTGACTGGTCTCATTTTGCTAATCATATAGTACCATTTCAAATATTTTTTAGAGCAGTGGTTCTCAAACTTTTTTCATCAAGTACCACCTCAGAAAAAAATTGTCTTTCCAAGTACCAACAAAATGAGTAGTATTGAAATACAGTAGCGTAGTAGGCCCAGTAAAGCAGCTACAACTCTGCACAGTTAAAAAACGTGGCAGATTATCTCAGAAATATAGGCTATATGTCAAATATGACTTATTATATACATCATTTTTGACAAATTTTTTAAATGTGTAGCATGTACATGACATATTTCATTTCTCCGCGTACCACTAGAAGGAAGCCTGCGTACCGCTAGAGGTACACGTACCACAGTTTGAGAACCACTGTTTTAGAGACAAGGATTTATAGCAGGCCATATGTAACCCAAAAGACTGAGATTTTTCTTTTGTATCTATTCAAAATTATGCAAGGCGGTCGACTTATGTTGTTGGCAGGTCTAAATTCACATCTTTGAGTCCCGTAGCTGAAGATCTACTGAAAAGTGAAACTACATGAGAAATTAAATCTGTCATTGTCACAATAAAAGGAGCTCCAAATGCACGGCCTGGATATGACTTCTACTCTCGTTTCTTTGCCCCTTGGTATGGAGTCGCTGAAGATCCAGTGTGTGGTGAGCTGAAATGATTAATCAATTAATCAACCTGTAAAACATGAGGAAGGAAAATGCAGATTTTTTCCTCGTGAATATAATGCCATGACATTATAAGTGAAATGCACAATGACAGATATTCTTTCCAATATTAATTGAAGGTAATTTATGCTTTTAAAGACTAACAATTATTTCTAAAAGGGTCTGCACACACAATTCTTGCTGGATACTGGTCTGAAAAGCTGAATAAAAAGAAAATGTTGGGTAAACTTTTTTCCATCTTTATCAGAATCCAAATCTATGATGAGTTCATGCGAGTTTAAGTTTCCTCTTAAAAACATAATTAATCAAATGTATATTTTTAGTATTTTAAATAATCTCTTCTGTTTTCCAGCCTATCAGTGCTCCAGTCGAGGAGGGGAACTGGAGCTGGAGGTGAGAGATGATGGTCGAGTAAACATCAGTGGTCGGGCACAAATCATTCTTCAGGGAACTCTTAAAGTCTAGTCAAGTCGTGCAAATCATTGAATCTGTTCATACTTTGTCGATTATGAGCCCAGTTTCTTTCTTAATAAAGAGCTGCAAACTTATATTTCATTCATTTATTGATTACTTGTATGCCGAAATGCAATAAAATATTTGATTTTAGAATCCGTTATCAATGTTTTCTGTTATTTTATTGTCAAGTATGAATAAAAATGACCAGGGTTACCGTTTTCCTTTATACATTTTAAAAAGTACAGGTCTGAGTGAGTAAATTATTTATTATTTTTACAGTAAATCTGTTATGCTGAATGATGATGGAACATTATATTTTACATATTTAAATTAGGAAATGTTATTTAAAGTGTTAAAGTACACACTGTAATTTAACAAGCATTCTATTTTAAGAGCAAGACGACATTTTAAAATGTAAGGTCTGTACCTTTAACATGACCCGTATCTTTAAGGTCAAAGTCTAACTTGATTTCAAACACGGCTCTAAAACATAACTAAAAGGTATACTAGAATAGAGCTGGAGAGCTGTAACAAATGGAGATTCCAATCTTTACTGTTGATGCCTTTACTAAAGTGCCTTTCAAAGGCAATCCTGCTGCAGTTTGTCTCATAGAAAATGTAAGTATCACCACAAGAAAGTTTTCTGTTATCAGATTAGTTTTTAATAAAATGTCAACTAAAAGTGTAATGCTATTAACACTGCTTGTGTAAATTCTCTTACATGCTTGTCTGTAATGTATTCAGGAGCTGCAAGATGATCTTTATCAGAGCATTGCTGCTGAGATGAATTTATCAGAGACTGCTTTCGTCATAAAAGGCAATTCAATGGATTTTTCCACAGGTCTGATTAAGAACATGTTTTTTTTAGATGTACAACAATTTAAATGGCTATTTAGTTATTGTTTAAATGTGTTTTGTTAAAAGGTTCAAGGTTTGGATTACGCTGGTTTACCCCCAAAAGTGAGATTGCACTATGTGGACATGCAACACTGGCCTCTGCCGCAGTGCTCTTTTACCTTAAAAGTAAGAAAGACTTGCATTTGTGTTAATCTTTTAACAGAGATAACGGACAGTGACCATTATAAACTCAATATAAATCACAGAAAACATCAACCCTTTTGTGGTGTTTGAGACCATGAGTGGGGATCTTTATGTGCGTCAACATGAAGACTCATTAATAATGGACTTCCCTTTAAACACACCACAGCCCCAGGTACAAGACCCCTCTGAGTATTGAAAATCTCACAATTAATCAAGAATTGGTTCTTGGTTTACATTTATTCAATTTAATTTTGAATGTACGTTTAATTTACAGGACCATAGTGAATTCAGGGATTTATTAAAGGTAACATGGTCTATTAATAGTTTTATTTAATGTGAAGCTACATTTTTGTAATGATTTTTATTACTTTCTCAGGCTGTTGTAGGAGATTTACCCACTGAGGATGTTTGCTACAGTCCAAGCACAAAGAAACTAATGATTCGTCTGGCTGACACATGCGACAGGTAATGCTAGACATTAGGTCAAAACAGGTCAAGTTGTGAAGTTTCAAAAATGTACAGTACATTATACACATTACGTTAGACAGAATGCCTTAGTTAGTTCATCAGAAATACAGCTCTGGAATTTCATTGTCGAAAGATGTGATCCACTGAAGAAACGGTCTCGGGGAACCAAAACTGGCACCAATTTGAGAAATAGATGAAATAACTTGAGAGAACTGAGTTTGGCAGCTAGTCTTGCTCTGCCAAACAAAACAATGAAAAGACAAAGCGTCAGTCCAGTCAAAAGTGGACGAGTCTTATTGGTGGCCTCGTAAGAGGTGCAGGTAATCCACTGAAGAAACAGTCTCAAGGAACCAAAACTGGCATCAATTTGAGAAATAGATCAAATAACTTTAGATAAATGAGTTGGGGGACTAGTCTTGCTCTGCCAAACAAAACAATGAAAAGACAGAGCTTCATTCCAGTCAAAAGTGGAAAAGTTTTATCAGTGGCCTTGTAAGAGGTGCAGGTTCCTGATATCCTGGACACAGGATATGTTCAAGCTGGCTATAACGATTGAAGTTGAGGACTTGTCCTGTCAACAAGGTGTCTGCTGAGATTAAGTGCTGTGAGTTCTACACATCTACTGTATGTCCTCTCTGACCAGGGAGAGCTGTGTTGTGCTTATCTCTAGTACAGATTGATCATTTGGGCTGGATTCAATGTTAACTTCTGGATAAGGGAGAGACACACAGCCTAGCAACAGAAAGATGTCATTATCCTTACAATGTTGATTTGGGAAGTGTCTACAGCCAATTTGACGTATTTGATATTCAGACTTTCGCGATTGGGTGTGGAGCCCACTAAGATACGGAGGAGCTAAACTGTTTAGTAGGTATTGTTCAATGTTTAATAGGAAGCCAGTACAATGTTGGTGATAATGGTCATATTGTTTTGCTAGCACCAGTTGATGTTTGTTTATTAGGTTTGCAATTTCACAAAAGTTCGAGATGTGGACTTAACATGACAGATCACTATCAATGTTACGTAGCGGAGGCACCCCGCTACGCACATAAATTTAAGGATGACCACTATAAAAAGTGGTCACCCGGAGTCCCCGTTCCTGCTCCCCAAGCACACACACACAGGACAAGTTGTCAAAAGGGGTATCAGATTTATTAAACAAAAAGGCCAAACCAACAAACAAAACAAGGTACGCTACCTAATATTAAACCTCTTACCTATACCAAAAATAAAGTTCCTTAAACAAAGCATACAATTCTAACCCCCATAACTAGCCACAAATCAGGAGAAAACTGGACAAGAAAAAGGGCATTCCCTTTGATCATTCAACATTAAGGTAAATATTAGCCACAGCTAACATATGATACCGTCCTAGTACCGTATTTAACAGAGTATCTCACCAGATGACTTTGAAACAGGGTTGGAGAAAGGCATTACACAATCAGCCACCGCTAATGCAGGTTACAGTCCTATTACCGTATTTAACAGAGTATTTTACCAGATTACTTTGAAAAAAAGGTTTCAGACAGATCACTGCCACACAGAGAACTCAGAGCGAACTGCTCACACACTGCTCAGATGAGGAGCGTCAACAGCGTGCCTTTATAGCTGGCGCCGCCCCTCTCACAGCTGCACCTGATTGCCAACTAGATTAGCAAAACTATTTTATGAAACATTGTGGTCAACAGCATCAAAAGCAGCCAGTAATACTAATAGAGAGTTGCAACATGATCTGATGATAGTAGGTCATGTGTATCTGACTATGGCTTTTCAGTTATAGGCAAAGGTTTAAAATGACAGAAAATGCAGATTAAAAAAATTAAGACAGAGGGTTAAAAATGTTTAACATGCAATCAGAGAAATTTACAATTTACCATAAATGCAAAATGTTCTGATGTGTTGTTGATTGTTGGCAGATCTGATCTTGTGTCTCTGAGGCCAGAGGCAGATTCTCTTCTGAGATCAGAGGCCACTGGCAAGATAAAAAGTGTTGTTGTAACACTGAAAGGGGCTCAGAAAGCTCAGCCTGGATATGACTTCTACTCCCGCAACTTTGCGCCCTGGGTTGGAATCCCTGAAGATCCAGTCACTGGTGAGGAAAACATTTAAAAAATAAGTGTTTGAGTGGAAAAATGTGTACATTACATCACAAAACATGTAAAATAACTTGATTTTCAAAAGGGTCTGCACATACAGTTCTTGCTGGCTACTGGTCCGAGAAGCTGAAGAAAAAGAAAATGTTGGGTAAATAATACCGAAATAATCATTCACTGCTATAAACACTGGGATAAAGTTAACCAGAGTAAAATGGGGATGAATACACACTGTAGATAAATGTAAATATGTGAGTAAATGATCACAGACTTTTTGTTTTAGAGTGAACTAATCCTTTGAGTTCTTATAATGAATAAAACAAGTTGCTAAGAATAAGCCCTTTAAAACTGATGTATTTGTTTTTCCAGCTTACCAGTGCTCCAGTCGAGGAGGTGAACTGAAGCTGGAGATAAGAGATGACGGCCGACTAGACATCACTGGTGAAGCGCAGATCATTCTTCAGGGAACTCTTAAAATCTAGACAAATCTTAAACGACTGATTGATTAAATTTGAGGAGACGCTTTCAGTGAAATCTGCTGCATTTAATCTTCACTCTACATTAACACACTCTAGGTTATGTGACATTTAATAAAATCTAAATTTATTAAATATTTTTTGTTTATCTTGTGTTAATTCAAAACCATTTTAGAGAAAAAGTGAAATATTTATGAGTGAAATATTTTATTAAACAAAACCTTAAAATTCTGAAAAATGTAAGAAAAACAAATATAAATACTTACATTTATACATTTCTGTATATATAAAATGCACATGTTCAAAATGGTCTAGACACTACATGGATAAAACTATAATGACTTTAAAAATGTGACATGAGGTAGAAATTAATTTCGCTATTCAGTCATGAGAGCAACTATATTAACAGTACAGTACAGTTATCTGAATCGTATGTATTATTTTACTTAAGTGTTTTTTTCAAGTAACTGTTCACAGCATTATCTTTGTGATGTAGCACACAGTTTACAAGAGGTTTTTATTTTTATCAGAAGATGACTCCAGGTAGTCCCTCGTGTGCAGCAGGAGGTAGCTGGAAGATGTGACTTCAGTTAAGGAGAAATTAAAAATATGGTAAAAAAAAAAGTTAAGCTAGGTCATTTAAAAAGCCTGGATAAACCTGTGATGAGATTCTGCCATTTTATTGCGGTTGTGAAGGATATCATATCTTCCTGCTGAAGGTGGCAGAGAAGTTTCTCCAGCGGTGCGTACCGGCGAAGAGTGGGGGCAGAGCCCAGCATGAGGAGCTTGTGTTTGGCTCTAGTGATGGCCACATTCAGCCTACGCCAGTCCTGGAGCAACTCTCCCAGCTGAAAAGTTATGCAAATTTGTTACAAACCTACACTCAAAAAAATAGTTTCTTCAAATGACTTATTTAAAATAGGCTGAAGAACACAATTCCCCACTATATTTTGGGAAAACTTAATTGTTTTATGTTCATTCAGCCTAAATGTGTAAAATCTAATAAGTTAGCTTAATTCCTCCATGTTATCCTAACACAAATGCATTGTGTGGAACCCAGGATTTTTTAGTGTACACTGCTTTGAAAAATGGCAACACTTTAGTTTAGGAAGAAATATTACATGCATATTATAAAAGCATTGGCTGTATATTATTACTCATAGAGTACAAACTATGGATAATTATTGATAACTGCCTAATAACTAGGCACACACGGAATCTGCGCGCGCAGAATTCTGCAGGTTTCTGGAGATTTTTAGCCCATTATTAATTCTGTTTATTTAATTTAGTAAATGTGTAAATATGAATTTATTTAGTTTTTATTCAGTAATTTATTACTTTTTATTTAATATATTAAGGTTTTAGTTATGATACTCCGCTGAATACTCCTAAAATTATTTCGCAGAAATCCACAAATTTTTGCAAAAATTCTAAGCAGAAATAGCAAAAAACGCAGATTCCGTCTGGCCCTGCTAATAACTATTATTTGTAGAAAAATCAGAAGTTTACGTATTAAAAAGTCATGGTAAATGGTTTATTAATAGGGAGAAGAAAATGAAATGAATTAAATTTACAGGCATTAGCAGAACTTATCAATGTCATGTATATCTATTGGGGATGTAAAAATTCACCTGACTCATGATTTGATACGATTTAGTCACAATTTTTTATATAATTTGAGACAAATTTAAGGTGAAGAGCTCTTTTTTTTCTTAAATGCTGCACTTTTTTGCTAAACTTTTCTGCCATAATTCAATTACTATTTAAAAAAAAAAAAAAAAAAATTGAAGAAGACTCAATATATCAAACTAAAACGGTGACTGTGCTGGGATTCGATTTTCAGCCAGCTCACGGTAAATCGTTACATCCTATATCTGGCAGAAAAATTTTTAGGTTTTACAGAGTTAATATATTTACAGTAACAATAGAGTATTAGCAGTATACTTTTTAGAGTATTATCTAGTCCCAAAATACGATATCGTTGTAATACAGGTTTTAACAATTTAATACATTTGATAATTTGTCTACAGCTATCATAGGCAGATTCTGATGAGAAAGTCACATGATAAATCAAAGCTTACCAAACACAGCTTTTCCACAATCTGAGGTGGTAAACTAAGTATACAGAAGGTGCCTTTGTGAAGAGAAGGAGATTTGAGCCCAAGAGCTTTGGGACACACAATTTTACAATTGCTTCAATCACAGTTTGTTCTGTTGCTTAGTTACATTCATTTAGTCACAATTCAAATGGCCCTGTCAATCAGCACTTGTTTACATCCTCCACATTTCTTTTATATTTAATTTCCTACTGTGCTGTTGATGAAGTGGCACATTAAACTTTCAGAGGAGTTTCATGCAAAAAAATCTGCTGAATGCTTTTGCTGCTTTAATGATGCATCAATCTTTATAAAAGTTCACAATGTTGTAATAGATTAAATATAACATGGATAACGTCAGGGTAGATAGTTTAAACCCTTTTAAATCTCTATTCGTAATCATCAGTTTGCCACATCGGCCATGTTTGTAGTTTTTAAAGAATTTAACATGTTTGTAGTTTTATTTGAACCTTCAATGTGCAGTGTTTTGTAAGCAATATGTGCCATTAGAGCACAGTGAGCACAGATCTGTACTTTGAATTTCTACCTGAATGTGTAGATCATCTGAGTAACTACAATACTCGATTAAACACAATATAATTTGGGAATTTTATTGTCTAATACTATATAGCAGGGCTCACCAGACTCGTCCTGGTGGGCTGGTGTCCTGCTGATTTTAGCTCCAACCCTAATCAAACACCAGAACATGCCAATCAAAGTTTAAAGCTGCGGTCACACTGTTCTCCCCAATAGACTTCCATTCATACACATAGGAATGTGACACACTGAAAACGCAAGCTCGTGTGACAAGTTTCGCAGTTGCCTGCAATGGAAAGTTCAAGCTTGGTGAACTCTGACATGCGAAATCGCATCATGTGGCTGCGTAAGACAAATAAAAGATCAAACCATGACCTCTCTGTACAGAAATTTCAAATATGGACCAATCGCTCGATTTTTTTAATGTCTAATCATCTTGTTGAATCCCACCTCATTTAGCAGCGCTGTACAACAAAATTTTGCAAGCTTAAACTCTGGTGTGGCCACTGCACTACTGGGTATACTTAAAACTTCCAGGCAGGAGTGTAGAGGAAATCTAGAGCTAAACTCCTCAGAACACCAGCCCTTCAAAACCAAGTTTGGTGACCCCTGCTATAGAGGATGGATATTATGCAAATGTTTGTGCAGTGAATAACTCCAATTATACTACACTTTGCTGATAATAACAACAATAACAGGCCCCTTAAATATTCGTTTTTCAGTAATGAGACCACTTACGTTGCCTTCAGCATTACTTCTAACAAAAGACACGATGATGACGCTCTTGTCACGTCCTTGGTATTTGTCCACAGTGTTGACTTCAAGTGCTTTAAAGGCGTCTCCCTGAAGCAGACTGGAGATAACTTTCAGCTGTTGTCGATACGGAGCGATGACCCCAATATCACATGCTCTGCATCCAGCCTACAAACACATTATTTTCAATCATTAGAGAAAAAAAAAAATCAGAAGATTTCTTTGCATTGCATACAACAAATGACATGTTCATACCTTAAGCAGCAGAGTAACAAGGCCTTGTACTAAAACAGCTTCAGTGTGATTACTGATCCCACTTTTCTCCACAGTTTCAGGGGCTGGAACCTGCAAATAAAAAACTACATCATATAATAATGATAAGGCAAGAACTTTTCTGGGATTCCATGAGAGGCAATAAAGGTTCAGATTGCGGCATGTCAACAAAAAACATGCCCTCCTATTGCTTTGGCTTTAATTTTATGGCTAGACTGCAAATCTGAAAATGACATCAGAAAATGCAAATCACAGATGACAATTGGGCAAAAACAAACTTAACAACTGAAATGGTGAATAGTGTTACTACATGAACTACAGCACTGCTATCATTCCACAAATTTTCACACAAGATTTGAATTTACAAATAATAGATCAGGTTCATTAGTATTTTGGAGATAAAACTGTTTCAACAGATTAAATATCACTTCATGAACGCAAGAACCACAGACATAATCTGTTACTAAATGAGAACCACAGTTTCAAACTCCTCTCCTTTATTGCATGACCACTATGGCCTTTCAACAACAAAACAATTACTCCCGATCACCCTGGAGGTGACCTTTTTATAGTACATAAAAGTCCTCACTTTCCTTTCCATGTGCTACATACACATCAACTGTCATAACCAAAAATGAACTTAACTGCTCTTTTATTTTATTGGTTTGTTTGCCCAGAAAGCCACTTTTGATTAGCTAAAGGTTTTCAACTTGCTTGCAATGATTAGTTAAACATTTTACTCAGGTCAACCAAAATCGACATTTTTTCTTTCAAAACAAATGGGATCATGTCACTATGTTTCTTGTTATGAATTGGGTAAAAAACAAAACGATGACAGACTGACCTCAGAGGTGTCCAGGAAACAGACAGGACTGTTGGGCTCCAGTGCGGCCTGGACCCAAGCACTGTACTGCGGCTGACACACGTACAGCTCCAGCTCCTCCTCTGCCTGAGCTCTACTGGGCAGCTGAAGCACTGCGTTTGCCGTCTTCTCAGAGCCACACTCCAGCCGGCCCTCATACATCAGAGCATTGCTGAGAGACATGATCGCACTGAAGGACACAAAACAACAAGTGTTGGAGCTGTACAGTCACAAATGGATGTTGTGAAAATTATTACAGATATTTCAGATTTAAAAAGGTTAGTTTGTAAAATTAAACTTGCATATGGTCTCTTTACATCATTATCTTTATGAATACTTGATACTGATCTGGAAGATGCTGATTAACACTATTTAATGCAGAGGTAATTTAAATTGTGTGTGTCAGGTGTTTCTTTGCCTCCATGTTGTGCATTATTGAATTTATTTTCATGCACAGCCATAGATTATCCCTTACTCATGCTATTTTACAACCTCATAAGTGAATTGTCAGACTCCTCACCTGTTCATCCTGTACTGCACATTCAGCTGAACAACAGCATCCCTGTGGTGTTCCAGACGTTTGAACAAACTCTCATCCATGCCCA